TATATATATATATATATATATATATATATATATATATATATATATATATATTTAGGAGATATACTATATATATATAAATATTTCCCTATTTCTAAAAAAAAAAAAAACACATATATTAAAACAACTTGTATTTTCACCTTTTAACTTTGCACTTTTAGTTTCATTTTCTCAATAATCGCAAAAAGCCTATGAAAAGTAAAATTCTATACATAAATGAAGTTATAAGAATTATTCCTTGACTCGTCTTGACTAATATATATACATTTTTTATATCTTCTATCTATGTCCATTTCTCTCCACATGAAGGAACACTCAATATCAAACGATCCGCGGCCAATTCTCCAACCAGTTCTACCTCATCGCCGCCGTCGCCGTCCAACGCGTTGACTTCGCCGACCTACTCGCTGAACGGCAGCTTAGCTGCTGCCGTGTACCATCTGAAGACGTCGCCGCCGCTTCCGGGTGGTGGCAGCGGCAGCGGCAGCGGCAATGGCAGCAGCCTTTGCTCGCCCTCGAATGCGAGTGTGAACAGCAACAGTCATGGCAATAATATGAGTCCATCCAATGCCAATGCCAGTGCTAACCTGAACAACACATCAACTTCGCCCCAGTCAGGTAATGGGGGCGTAGGCGTGGGAGTTGGTGTTGGCGTTGGCGTTGTCCCAGTGCCAGCTTTGCCGCTGCGTATGCCCCCACCAACCAGTGGTGGGATCAACGAGCCGCAAGAGTGTCCCTACTGTCGACGCACGTTCTCCTGCTACTACTCGCTAAAGCGGCACTTTCAAGACAAGCACGAGCAGTCCGACACGCTCTACGTGTGCGAGTTCTGCCACAGACGATATCGCACTAAGAACTCGCTGACAACGCATAAGAGCCTGCAGCATCGCGGCTCGAGCGGCATGCTGAAGCGTCTGCTGAAGACGTCCGCCATAAAGCACGGCCTAGTTGGTGGTCATCATGCCCATCCGCACCACCATCACCATCATTCGCTCACCCATTCGCGCAGCAGCCTCTTCGACTTCAAGAGTGAGCTGGGCCAGCCCCCACCGGGCATACAATAGGATCTACGTTGGAATGCAATTTTTTAGAGAATTAGTGTCCAGATACCAGCTACAAATACTTCGCCCTCCCCTACACACCTACACTTCTTTCATAATTTTATATATATTTGTGACAGCGAGCCATAGGCTCCTCAACACAGGCCATTGTTCGTGCTCACATTTAGCTATTAGAGAGACATTAATGTGTTTTTTTTTTTTTTTTTTTTTTTTTTTTTTTTTTTTAAATATATATAAATATATAAATAAATATATATATATATGTATATATATATATATATATATATATATATATATAT